GAAAAGTTTCTCTTTCCCCCACCCCTTTTCGTTCTGTCCTCTTTGGATGGAAGTTCCTATACACATTTCCCACGTAAGGAATGAGGAGTGTGGCAGACTGAATAATGGCCCCCAAATAAGTTCACATCCTAGTCCCCAAAACTTGTTACCTTGTTTGGCAAAAATTAATCCGCAACTGTGATTAAATTAAGGGTCTTGTCATGCAGAGACTGCTCTGGATGAGACTCTAGTTGCAATCACATGTGTCCATATAAGAGGCAGACAGAGAGGATTGACACAGAGGAGGAGAAAGTAACGTGACCACAGAAGCCGAGATTGGGGGAATGGGGCCAGCAGTTCCCAGCAGCTGGAGAGGCAAGGACTGGACCCCTTAGCCTCCGAGGAGCCCAGAGCTGCCAACACCTTGATTTCAGTTTGGATTTCTGGACTCCACACGGTAAGGGAATAGATTTCTGTTGTGGGTTGTTGTTGTTGTTTTGTTATTAAATTTGTTGGGGTGACATTGGGCAACATGAACATGTAGGTTTCAGGTGTGGGTTTTTGTTACAAGGTCTGTATATTGCACCGTGTGCCCACCACCCAAAGTCAAATCTCCTCTTGTCAACATATATTAGGATCCCTTCTCCCCCTAGCCCCTTCCCTCTGGCAACCACCATACTGCTGTTTGTGTTCATGAGTTTCAGTTTTATATCCCACACTAGAAGCCTGGTGCATGAAATTCGTGCATGGGGTAAGGGGGCGTGGTGTCCCTCAGCCTGACCTGCACCCTCTCCAATCCAGGATCCCTCAGGGGATGTCCTTCTGACGGCTTAGGCCCTATCCCTGTGGTTCTCTGCTCCCTGTGGGGCCTGCCTGCTCCACACCACGGCGATGGGCAAGCAGGCCCTGCTGGGTGCTGTCTGCGGGCCGCACTTGGCTGCTGGACCCACATTGCCGGGGTGATGCCGCCAGCATCCTGCTCTGGCTGCTATGGGTGCCACCATCTTTGTCATAGAGTGACAGTTAATTTGCATATTACTCTTTTATTAGATAGGATTATTATTATCACAGAGAGGAAGGGAGAGGGATAGTTAGGAACATCAATGAGAGAGAAACATCAATCAGGTACCTCCTGCATGCCCCCTACTGGGGATGTGCCCACAACTAAGGTACATGCCCTTGACCAGAATCAAACCTGGGACCCTTCAGTCTGCAGGCCGATGCTCTATCCACTAAGCTAAACCAGTCAGTGACCCACATTTTCTTTATCCAGCCCTCTATCGTGGGACACTTAGGTTGCTTCCATGTCTCATCCACCATGAATAAAGCTGCGATGAACATAGGGATGCATATATATTTCCAAATACATGATTTTGAGTTTTTCCTGTATATACCCAGGAGTGGAATTGCTGGGTCGTATGGTAGCTCTGTTCTTAATTTTTTGAGGAACCGCCAGACCCCTTTCCATAGTGGTTGTACCAATCTGCATTCCCACCAGCAGTGAATGAGGGTTCCCTTTTTCTCACAACCTCTCCAACACTGTTATTGCTTGTCTTGTTGATAATGGCCACTCTAACAGGTGTAAGGTGGTGTCTCATTGTTTTGGTCTGCATTTCCCTAATTGCCAGTGAGGTTGAGCATCTTTTCATATATCTATTGGCTGTTCATATGTCTTCTTAAGAGAGGTGTATTTTTGGTTCTGAAGCAGAGCGTGGGGCAATGGCCACGGGGACAGACCAGGTGGTGGGTCTCAGCCTCATCATCGTGTGCCTCATCATCTTCACCTACTATACTGCCTGGGTGATTCTCGTGCCATTCACTGACAGCCAACATGTCATCAACAAGTGTTCCCTGCCCCGAACTTATGCTGTTGCCACCCCACTAGCTGCTGGCCTCCTGGTGCTCCTGTTTGTGGGACTGTTCATCACCTATGTGATGCTGAAAAACCAGAAGGTGACCAAAAAGGCCCGGTGAGGGCCCAGCGGGGATGCAGCTGCCTCCCCTCCAGTGCACGCCAAGGGCGGGGGCCCACAGGACCTGTGCAGGCACTGCAGCCGCTCAAGCACGGCTGTCCTGCAGACACTCCAGTTTTCCCAGCACCAGTTATTGAAGAGACTGTCTTTACTCCAATGTGCATTTCTGGCTCTTTTGTCAAAAATTATCTGTCCATATACATGTGATTTTATAGCTGGGCTCTCTATTCTGTTCCATTGATCTGTGTGTCTGTTCTTCTGCCAGTGCCATGCTGTTTTGATTATTGTAGCTCTGTTATAATTTGAAGTCAGATAGCGTGATACCTCCAACTTCATTCTTTTTTCTTCTCAGGATTACTTTGACTATTCGGGGTATTTCGTGGTTCCATACAAATCTGATGATTTGTTGTCCTATTTCTTTTTAAAAATAACATTGGGATTTTGATGGGGATTGCATTAAATCTGTACATTGCCTTTGGGTAATATGGCTATTCTAACTATGTTGATTCTTCCAATCCATCAGCACAGGATATGTTTCCATTTTGTTGTGTCTTTTTCAATCTCTTTTAATAATGCTTTGTAATTTTCAGTTTATAGGTCTTTCACATTCTTTGTTAAGTTTATTCCTAGGTATTTTATTCTTTTGGTTGCTATTGCAAAAGGAATTATTTTTTCCATTTCTCTTTCTGAAGTTTTGTTATTAGTATACAGGAAGGCAATGGATTTTTGCACATTGATTTTGTATCCTGCTACTTGACTGTACCTGTTCATTGTTTCTAATAGTTTTTTGGAAGAGTCTTTAGGGTTTTCTATATATAAAATCAGGTCATCCACAAAAAGTGACAGTTTGACTTCTTTTTTCCCTACTTAGTTGCATTTTGTTTCTTTCTCTTGCTTTATTGCTCTGGCTAAGACTTCTAGCACTATGTTGAATAAATGGTGAGAGTGGACATCCTTGTCTTGTTCCTGATCTTAGGGAAAAAGCTTTCAGTTTTCCACGATTAAGTATGATAGCAGAGGGTTTATCATATATGGCCTTTACTGTGTTGAGGTACTTTCCTTCTATTCCTATATTATTGGGTGTTTTAATCATAAATGGATGTTGTATCTTATCAAATGCTTTTTCTGCACCTATTGATAAGACCATATTGTTTTTATCCTTTCTTTTGTTAATGTGGTGCATTATGCTGATTTGCAAATGTTGAACCATCCTTGTGCTCCTGGAATGAATCCGCTTGATCACGATGTATTATTTTTTAGATGTACTGTTGTATTCGATTTACTAGTATTTTGTTTTGGATTTTTGCATCTGTGTTTATCAGAGATATTGGTCTGTAGTTTTAGTTTTTTGTGTTATCTTTGCCAGGTTTTGGTACCAGGGTTATATTGGCCTTGTAGAATGTGTTAGGAAGTATTGCCTCTTCTTCAATTTTTTGCAAGAGTTTGAAACGTATAGGTTTTAATTCTTCTTTGAATGTTTGGTAGAATTCACTGGTGAAGCTATCTGGTCCTGGGCTTTTTTTTTTCTTCTCGTGAGATTTTTTATAGTTGTTTCCATGTCCTCACTGCTGATCATTCTATTTAGATTTTTCAACTCTTCATGATTTAGTTTAGGAAGGTTATATATTTCGAGGAATGTATCCATTTCTTCTAAGTTATTTAATTTGGTGGCGTATAGTCTTTCATAATATTCTAGTATGATCCTTTATATATCTGTGATGTCTGTCGTGACTTCTCTCTCATTTCTGATTTTGTTTATATGGGTCTTTTCCCTTAGTGAGTTTAGCCAGGGGGTTCTCAATTTTATTAATTTTTTCCAAGAATCAACTCTTTGTTTTATTGATTTTTTGTTCTCTATTTCATTTAATTCTGCTCTAATTTTTATTATTTCCTTTCTTCTGCTGACTTTGAGTTGCTTTTGTTCTTCTTTTCTAGTGCTTTAAGATGCAATGTTAGGTTGTTTACTTGGGATTTCTCTTGTTTCGCTGCATACTCCTGAAATGATATAAATTTCCCTCTTATTACTGCTTTTGCTGCATCCTAGAGGTTTTGATATGTTGTGTTATCATTCTCATTTGTCTCTATATATCTTTTGATCTTATCTTTTATTTTTTCTTTCACCAGCCATTTTTTAGTAGTATGTTGTTTAATATCCACATATTTGTGGGTTTCTTTACTTCCTTTTTGCAGTTGATTTCTAATTTCAAGGCATTGTGGTCAGAAAATATGCTTGGTATAATTCCAATCTTCTTGTATTTGTTGATACTAGTTCTGTGACCCAACATATAGTCTATCCTTGAGAATGTCCCATGTGTGCTGGACAAGCATGTATAATGTGGTGTTCTCAGATGAAATGTTCTGTAAATGTCCATTATGTTCATTTGGTCTAGTATTTCATTTAAGGCTGATATTTCATTATTGATTTTCTGTTTGGTTGATCTGTCTAGAGCTGTCAATGGAGTATTAAGGTCTCCAACTATGATTGTGTTTTGATGTGTTTCTCCCTTTAGTTCTGTGAGTAGCTGTTTAATATATTTTGGTGCTCCCTAGTTGGGTGCATATATAGTAAGAAGTGTTACGTTTTCTTGATGTAATGCTCCCTTCATATCATTATAAAGTATCCATCTTTGTCTCTTGTTATCTTGAAATCTATTTTTTCAGATGTAAGTATAGCTACACCTGTTTTTTTGTGGATGTTATTTGCTTGGAGAATCATTTTTCACTTTTTTACTTTGAATCTACCTTTGTCTTTGCTGTTTAGATGTGTCTCTTGTAGGCAGCATATGATTGGGTTTTGTTTTTTGATCCCTTCTGCTAATCTGTGCCTCTTTACTCAATTCAGACCCTTCTTGATGTCTGAGGATTTCCTACAGCCATTTTTATCTTTTGTTTTCTGGTAGCTCTGTGCCTCCGTTGGTTCTTTTCCTTTATACTTCTGTCTGCTGTTGTTGTTTGGTGGTATCCGACAGGTCTTTCCACTGTTTTCTCTTTTTCAAGCCACATGTCCTGTTTTGGGGATTTGTGTGTGTGGTTGCCATTAGGGTTATAAAAAATGACGTGGCATATGTACCATAGTGTTTTTTTCCCTTTTGAGTGCATCTGATCTTCATTTTCCTTTGCCAGTTCAGACCTTTCCCCCTTCTCCTTGTATGTTTTTATTGTCACAAATTATCCCTGTGTACGCTGTAAGTTTTTGGTGATGTTACTCCTAGTGTTGTAACTTTATGTTCTTTGTTTCAGGTAGAATAACTCCCTTGAGTATGTCCTGCAGTGGAGGTTTTTTGGTAATAAATCCCTCAGTTTCTGCATTTTCTGGGAAGGTCCTTATTTCTTCTTCATATTTAAAGGATAATTTTGCTGGATATATTATTTATGGATGATAATTGCTCTCTTTCAGATATTTGAATATTTGATTGTACTCTCTCCTGGCTTGTAGATTTTCTGCTGAGAAGTCAGATGAAATTCTGATGGGGTTTCCTTTGTAGGTCACTTCCTTCTTTTCCCTGACTGCTTTGAAATTTTTTTCTTTGTCATTAATTTTTGACAGCTTCATTACCAAGTGCCTTGGAGAAGGCCTCTTTGAATTGAAGTAACTATGTTCTGTTTGCTTCTTGGATTTGAGAATCTAGTTCTTTCCATATATTTGGGGAGTTCCCATCCACTGTTTTAAGAGACTCTCTATTCCATGCTCCCTCTCTCCCTCCTCCACAATGCCTATGATTCTAATGCGACTTCGTCTGATGCAGTCAGAGAGGTCTCATAGAGCTCTTTCATTTTTCTTTATTCTCAGGTCTCTCTCTTCTTCCGTCGGCATCATTTTTTTAAAAAATTTCTTTTATTGTTTAAGGTATTTCTGCATCATTTCCTGATTCCTATCTTCAATATCACTAGTTCTTTACTCTGACTGGTTGGTTCTGTTTTCTATGCTCAACAGTTCACTCTTAATCTTAATTGCATGCTTCATTTCCAGGAATTCTGATAGATTTGTTTTTAAAGTTTCCATTTCCTCAGAGAAATACTGATTTTGTTCATTGAATAGTTTTCTGAGTGCACTGAATTGCCTGTCAGTATTTTCTCACATCTCTTTGGGTATTTTCAGGATGCAATCTTAAAATCTCTGTCATTTATATCACATACTTCATGTGTTCAGCCTACTTTCTGAGGAGTTTTCATTTTCTTCCTGGTCACCATCATGACTGTGGTTCCGCGTGGTATTTGCTGCCCTCCTTTGTTTTCACATTTATCTCTAAGGAAGCCTTTCTACTATTCCAGGAGATGGCACTGAATTGCAAGATTTTTACCTGTGTCCTCCCAGATTTGAGCCTCTGGCTTTTGTAGGACAGTACCATGGCATTGCTTAGGAGTAGGGTTTGTTTTGCCCTAATCATAATGGTGACCCCTGATCTCCATGGTTCAGTCACAGAGGGAAACAGTGATTCTACCACAACAGCTCTTGGTTTGCAGATAATATGCTCCTGGAGCCAACTCGAAGGGCAACAGGAGGCAAGTTTTGGGAGTCTAAGCAGCAGCAGGCTCTGTAATTTCCTTTTGTGTCTGAAATACCACTGCCAGACATAGCGGTGGGGAGCCGCACAGCAGCACCCCATGCTCTGCTGGGCAGGCATCTGCTGACTCAGTCACTGTTTGCTCTCGCTGCTCCCATGGGACTCAGACCCCATTCGCTCTAGCTCCACAAAACTTGCAGCTGTCTACTCACCACTCACCACGGGCTGCTTGCCAAGCACATGACTCAGACACTATCCTCTCTTACTGATGGCAGCTCACAGCTCACAGATTGCCCTGCTTGGCTTCCCCCTGCAGTTCTCTGTTCCTCCCGGCCAAAAGAAGTGCCTGCTACTGCCACTGGCTTTCTCCCCTCTTCCTGCTGGGTGCAGCAGGGCATTAAACCAAGTGTTAGGCCCTGGGCAACTACACGGTGGCATATATATGAAGACATCCTACTCAGAGAAGTTAAATAACTTGCAGAAGATGAAGAGTTAACAAGTAGCTGAAATTTGAACCCTGGTAGTTTGACTTCAGAATTTAAACACTTACTCTTAGACACAACAATAAACATTATCTATTGAGTATTTTATCTGTGCCAAGAA